GGGATTGAACCCACGACCTCCTATATACCAGGCGAGGTAGTTAACATCTCTCCACCGAGGTAAAGTAATTAACATTACACGCTGCACAATTAACCCAACAACCTGAATTTAATTTCAAGTTACACCTAACATCGTTGGTGTGTGATATCTGAACCAGTCTTGGGCACTCCATTCACCGGTGGTGATGAAGTATGGTCAAACAACTCCCATTGCCACATGTCACGAGGAGGCCGTCATCGGGCAGTGGGTAGATCATGACAGATAATGATGATGAAGTAATGATAATCATAATTTGCACTTTTCTAAAGAACCTTTCACCCAGAGGTCACAAAGCGATTTGGAGCCCCACTGTGCCACTTTAAAAATGCGCAGATTAAGTTGTCTTCTGCACCAGGTTAACAAATGAGCTACACTCCAACTAAATGACATTTTATTCAACAAAACAGAACGTTCAGTAAAATGGGCACTCTGCGCAATTCTTGCAGCACCTGTCATTTGTGCGTGCTCCAACTTGGAATGCAAAACACGAATCTTCGTATTATATTAGTTTTATGCCAAATCTAAACAATTATGTAGTGCGGCAGTTACAGCCTTAAAAATCAGGAAACTAAAATTTAATAATAAAAAAATATGTAAAAGAGACATTTGTTTAAAAAGTTAAAGTCAATTTAATTCTACATTGGGAGCATGCTTGAGAAACCCATTTTCCCTGATTCAGCCACACGACCGAATTGCCAATTATTTCAGGCGAGAAAAGTATTCACTGCTGCTCATAGTAATCAAATATCACGTAGGCAGTTGAAAAGTGTGGGATTTCAGCGGCGAGTCTGCAAGTGTGGATGGAGAGTCAGAGCCGAGAGCGGCTCACTCTACGCGTCTTTGATGCCATCGCTCAAACGTGAAACATTTTTTGAGATGCAAATCGCGGCTGCCGTTAGCGAGAATGGAGGAGCATCGCTACAAAGAGGGAGAACCTTAGTTCAACGCTTGACAGCTCGTTAAAAACAAAGCCGACTCGCACCTGCGCAAACACTGTAAACTGCCCGTTATGACAGCAAGCCGTGGCTTTAAGCCATGCTACAAATCGTAGCGCGCTCGGTGAGCACGTGCAACCTTAATGCGACCGTTATTCCCAGCGTGAGCCCCACGCTATCTCTCACTGTCGATATGCACGTGCATCGGCGTACGATGCTGCGAGTGTGTCCCGAGTCCGAATGAATGGGTTTGGTATCCCACATCATGTAAATGCGGTCGAGGCAGTGTTGACCGTTCCATAGTTTGTTTACTTTGGGATAGGAGGGCATGTGGTAGTTTAATGTCCAAAATTATTGTCATCAATCCCTCCACCACCCAACAAGATTGTCACTCTGACAAATATGTTATTTACATGCGTCAGTCCGAGAATAGGTTTTCCCCTTTTTTTCTGGCAACAAAACAGCTTTCTTTTGAGCCTAGTCTCAAAACGGTGTTAGACCAGAGGATGCCTCTGGACGCCTCTGGTCTAACACCGTTTGAGACGAGGCTCAAAAGAAAGCTGTCTCTGGTGTGGACCAATCAGTTTTAAGGACAATGCCACATATATTATCAGAGTATTTTTTTTTGTTTGCATTCTGACTACAAGCATTGTGGTTAATGCAGACATGATTCCTTGTAAAAGGTTTCAGTTTGGTGTTTTAACATCTTAACACCTATAGATTTAAAGCTTTCGTGACTGCAAGGATCCATACTCTTTGGTTCTATTCGGTAAAGTCACGTAGGTAAAAAAATAAAACAACAAAAATCACGACGTTTCGGCCACAACACAAGCGGCCTTCATCAGGTGAAGGGACCAGGCTGTCTCGAGGACAGCGCTGGAGTGAAACACAGCCACCTGTTTATTGCCAGAAACAAGGGGAAACACCTTCATAATATTTTGGTACTGGCAAAGGAGGTCACAAGATGCGTCAGTCCGCTGATCCAATTCTGACCAATAAGGCTCCTCACTGGTGGCTTAAGACTTTTCACAGCTGAATGCCACATCAACGTTGGACGATGTTTCACTCGCAGTGCTTTGAGTGTACACGACATGCAGCTTTGTGCGAGCCACGAAACAACATAGACTTTGCTGCGTGACTCACTTTCAGGTAACAGATCTATAGCTAATGGGCTGGTGCTGTACCTGCCAACAATTAGCAATATATTTGTTCCATAGTGCCGTAATCCCTATTCCACTCACTCCCCAGCAACAACTAGGTGTGCAACTACCGAGTTTCTACCACGCGCTCTACCCTTGTAAACACGAGGAGTATCCTCTTGATATGGCTCCTCCTTGTGACGTGGGGCAATGTTGGGTTTTGATCCTGGGATTCTTACCGCTTAATATCCGTCTTCTCCCTTTGCAATCACCGTTAACCACGAAACCCACTTCAACAATCCGCTAACTAGAGTGGGCCATACAACTTTGGAACGATACTCTTCTGCCAGGCATGCTGAGAGTGGATTCGTTTGAACTGTTGGATGGGCAGCTGATTTGAGTGCTGCTGCACAGCATGCTTTGTGAGCATGCTCTTGCCGTTTGTTGAGCTTTCAAAGAGAGTTGACCGGTCATTTTATAGAGCCGCTCAGTAATTTCCTGCAGGGAATTTAACAAAGCCGTGCACTCTAAAGTCGACATTAAAAACTCTGGAGCTGGATGGCTCCGAGTTCAGTGATCTCTTAACCCCTGAACCAAGTCTGCAGCCACCCATCATTAAATCGGGTTGTCAAGTTGCAGTGAGTTGATGGTCACAGCTTGGCCATCACTGACTGCACGGCAATCCATCATATTAAAAATGCGACTCTTGCACGTAACTTTGGCTGAATTCCATCTCTGAGAATTTTGATAACGCTTTGACTGTCATGCGACAGTTGGATAGCGATGTTTCGGGAAAGCGCGTCTCTGAACGTGTAAAGGATGAAAGGCCACTCTTTCGGGACGAGTACTTGTGTGTGACAAGGTACTTTGCTCAGCCAATCTCTCGACAAACAGTGCAGTGCGTTAGATATTCTGCAAGGTTTCTGAACGGATTGTTCATCTCGTGATGCTGAACGCACAAGATCCGGATTACATTGTGGGGGAGAAATACAAAAGGACATAACTCAGTCCACGCTTTAACAACAATTGCTCATCATCCATTCGCAAGTGAACTAAGAATAATAAGGTACAGTTTGAACATCAAGTATCTAAAAGCGACCGCATCGCAAGATGCTGTACAAATAGGGAGGAACGTGCCAACACAAAGAGTTTGGAAGACGTGTTTCGTTGGTAACTTCACACACGTGGAAACATACATGTCAAGCAGTGTGGTCCATCAATCAGCGAGACCCATGAACACTGAGAGCGTGGATGTAAACTTCCCATGAGGACAGAGTCAACTGATTGTTCCTGAAGGACTGACTGGTCGTAACAATAATGAGCACCTCCTGATTATAAGTAAATAAAAATCCCCAAATTCGAACGTCTCCGTGCTTACTCTGAACGAGCGTGCTGTGGTGCTCCTTCCCGTCAGAAGCCCCGGGCGTGCAGGCAGAAATTCCACATTCCTATGGCCTGAAGCAGGGCTGAAACAATACTTTGGAAGTTGGAGGTTGGGGAATGTCCTCCTCGTGAATGGTTCTTGGCGGTTATTGAATAGATTGCAGTTACGCAGTAGCGAATGCTGTCATTCATTAAGTAGCCACGCCATTTGTAGTACAGCACTGACAAACCCTATTTGTATGCATGTATGTAGAACTTCTTTCGCACCGTACGTAGCTAACCGTGCTCATCGGAAGTGCGGGGCAAGGAGAGCAAACTAAACACAAAAAAAACAGTCCTGAAGAAATTAGTTTTCAGTCTAGATTCAATAGTGAACGCACGTTTAACTTGACTAAATTATTGCACTGTAAATTATATAAAAGAAATGCAACTACTGGCAACTCAGCACTGTAATGAACCTGCTGCTCGTGCGCTCCTACGACTGTGGCTTTCAATGTTTCGTTATCAGTGTCATCAGCATTGGCGTCACCTTGTCGAAGGGAGGAAATCGCAGACACGAATCAGAAGCAAACAAACGCGATTTTCGTCTCATATGTTGTGGGTGTCTCTTAGCCGCATCTAAACGTCGTGTGCCGTGGTGGTGGGGGGGGGGGCACCTGGACCCCTTCCACCCCCACCACGACTCGCACAGTGGCTGCCAGCCGTGGCCTGACCACCTTCGCACCTACGGTTGGCTACGTACGGCGCGAAAGAAGTTCGGCATGCGTACGTGCATGCATTCTCACACAGTTGTGCTCACTTTAATGCGTGATTTATGGTGGCTAGGGTCGGATTTGGGTTTAATGTGGTCTCGGGGCTGTTTTAGTTTTTGGGGGAGCCCTCTTTATATTTAATTTCTCCATTTTACTGTCTTACCGCCACCCATGGCCGATGCCAAATGCTCTCGTTCTTATTTACCTTGGTTCCTGTATTTCCGTTCCCCTTGTGAAAACTGATACGCGAATTATAAAGCTTGATGAAAGTTCAGACGAACAAACCCGCTTTAATTTTGGCACATATTTGCCAATCATACACGGTAATGCCACGGATTTTCATGAACACATGTAGCGTTGCATCAGTATCGCATTGAAACCATCCCGCACCTGCGATTAGCACGGTTGCCTACGTACGGTGCGAACGAAGTTCAACATACATATCAAGGCACCCTGCAATGTTGTTTGGTTGACCGCCTCTTTTATTTATTTATATATCCGAAATCCCGGGGCAGGATCCCCTTAAAGCCCCTGCGGCTGATCCGGCCGTGCGCACGAGATCCACAGACACCACCGCCACCACCAACTAGCGGAGGGGCAGTCAGAGAAATCGTTTGTTGTTATTGTTGTTGTTATTATTGCGCAAAGCCGGGGGGAGGGGAGTGGAGGGGTGGGGGTGGTTCGAGAATAGCCGTTGACAAACTTCGACAACGCGCGATCAACAGCCCCAGCACGGAGACGATCACCCGAACCTGTAACGCGCCGACTTGATAGGATGCACCACGGCGATGTAGCGGTCCACGCTGAGCACGGTGAGGCAGAAGATGCTCGTGAACATGTTGATGCCGTCCACGCTGAGCACGAGGCGGCACAGGCCCGCGCCGAACGGCCACCGGTGCATCGCCGCCGCCGTGGCCAGGAAGGGCACGCTGAGCATGAAGAGCTCGTCGGCCACGGCCAGGTTGAGGATGTAGATGTTGGTGGCCGTCTTCATCTTGGCGTAGCGCAGGATGATGTAGATGACGAGGGAGTTGCCCGAGAGACCCACCAGGCACACGACTCCGTAGATGAAGGGGATGACCACGTTGCTCGCGTCTGCGTCCCACGTCTGCCCCGAGCTGTTGAAGGCGTCGTTGTCATAGAAGGAGTCGTTGAAGCTTCGGCTGCTGCTGTTATTGATGAAGTGGCCCATTGTTGGAGAAATCGCGAAGGCAGCTAGCTGGTGGCTTGCTGATGATGATGATGACGATGCAAACCGTCGGTTGACTACACACGGGCTAGCAGCTGCAGCTGCAGCTGCGGGCTGAGAATGTGAGGCATGCACGAGTCAGCACCACCTATGGTGAGTAGAGAAAGTCTCAGAATTTAACCATTGCCTAAACAGATGGTGATGCTTCATCCGGCGCCAACTCGCGCTGGATAGTCACGAATTACACCGGTCAAGCCACCACTGCTGCTCACCTAAGCATTATTTTACTGTCACCTAGTCGACACGCGTGCGTGCGTCATGCACGCGCATAATAATAATACTACACCCTCGCATCGCTACCGCTGACCACAGCCTCGGTCGGTAAAGCCCTCGTAATGTCTTTTATGATCCACACGAAAGCGAATAAACACCACGTGCAGCCTCTACCACGTGTCTACAATGACTCACCCGACTGAACACGTGGCCTTAATTGACGCAGATCAAAACGAGGCGCCGCTTTCAATTCGGTACTTTGGGAACCACGAAGAAAATAAAAAAAGCGTCGATCTCCCTCTTCTCATCCACCTCGACAACAACCAAAAATCCGTGTCAAGTCGGGACTGCCAGCTGGTGCGGGCACAACAAGCCCAAACTTGGCGGTAGGCGAAATAAGGCCGCTGGAACGATCTTCTCACAACATTAACTGCGTCTCGTCCACCCAGGGCTGCGTCTCATCCACCCAGGGCTGCGTCTCGTCCACCCAGGGCTGCGTCTCGTCCACCCAGGGCTGCGTCTCGTCCACCCAGGGCTGCGTCTCGTCCACCCAGGGCTGCGTCTCATCCACCCAGGGCTGCGTCTCGTCCACCCAGGGCTGCGTCTCGTCCACCCAGGGCTGCGTCTGTCCACCCAGGGCTGCGTCTCGTCCACCCAGGGCTGCGTCTCGTCCACCCAGGGCTGCGTCTGTCCACGCGGCTCCGAGCAGGGTGTGCGCGCCAAAGGATCGCGCAGGCAACAGCGCGCTGCTGCTGCTGCTACGGTGGTGGTGGTGGTCACGACAGAAACAGCGGCGCTCTTAGTCGGCGTGAGCGAGCGTGGTGGTTAGTGGGTGGGGGGGGGGTTGAGCCGGAATTCTCACGCAAGCCGCCCCCCCCCCCACCACCACCGCTTTAGGTCCCCTCCGTCCCGTTGCGCCTCTCACTCCTCCTCGTCTTGGTGCGCGCGGTGATTGGCGTGGCGAGAATGCGCGACGCTGGAGGTTTGTTGAGAGACGCGAAGGGGCTCTTGGGGGGACGGGGCGGGCGGGGGGTCTCGTCCCGTGTGTCTCGTACGTCTCCCCCCTCCTCCCGCCCCCCTCTCGCACGGCACGCTTCACGCTATGATGCCATGTGTATTGCGCTAGTGGACGGCGTGCTGCCCCGATATACGTATGTATGCTGAACTTCTTTCGCACCGTACGTACCAAACCGTGCTTTTTTTGTGTATGTTGAACTTTTTTCACGCCGTGCATAGCCAACCGCGCCATGTGTGTGTGTGTGTGTGTTGAACTTCTTTCGCACCGTACGTAGCGAACCGTGCTATGTGTGTACGTATGCTGATCTTCTTTTGCACCATGTTTCGCCAACCGTGCTTTGTGTGTATGTTGAACTTTTTTCACGCCGTGCATGGCCAACCGTGCCATGTGTGTAGCTATGTTGAACTTCTTTCGCACCGTACGAAGCCAACCGTGCCATGTGTGTAGCTATGTTGAACTTCTTTCGCACCGTACGCAGCCAACCGTGCCATGTGTGTAGCTACGTTGAACTTCTTTGGCACCGTACGCAGCCAACCGTGCCATGTGTGTAGCTACGTTGAACTTCTTTCGCACCGTATGAAGCCAACCGTGCCATGTGTGTAGCTATGTTGAACTTCTTTCGCACCGTACGTAGCCAACCGCGCTAATCGGAGGTGCCGCGTGGTGTAATAGGGTGGTCAGCGCGTCGAGTTTGCGATCCGAATGGTCTCCGGTTGGTTTTCGATGTCCCCGTGCGTTTACACCACAAGTCGATCGGCAGCTCACAGTGCGGTGGGGTAAACCGTGGGTATGCCCCACTTCTGGACGTCAAAAAGAGCTTCATAGCTCATCGGATTCCTCCAGTGTAAAAAAAAATACATTCTGATTCTGGCCATCGTAGAAGAGTAGACCGAACTACCCCTCTCCTTCTAAATGAGGGAAAACCGCCACGCGTTTTTTTTTTAACGAGATATTGCAAACTACGTTCGAAGCTTTCGTGACTGCAGGAATTACTCTTTGGTTTCTTTCGGTAAAAAAATCACGTAGAAAATAAAATCAAATGACAATAGAATACGACGTTTCGATTGCAACACAAGCAACCATGATCGTGAGAAGGAAAACAACTCTAGTGAACAAAGAAACACAATGCAACACAACGCAGAGAGCCGGCCATCACATCAACACAAGAGCCCACCAACCCCACCTGGCTGCTGAGCGTGGTGTGCTGTTGTGATGGCCGGCTCTCTGTGTTGTGTTGCATTGTGTTTCTAAGTTCACTAGAGTTTTTTTTTTCTTTCTCATTCATTCTTACACGCTGACGGTTGCTTGTGTTGCAATCGAAACGTCGCATTCTATTATGATTTTCTTTTTATTTTCTACGTGACTTTTACCGAAAGAACCAAAGAGATATTGCAGGGGCCGCACCTTTACCCCCTTGCGACTCGCCCTACACAGAGCGCAACAACGCCACTCAATATTTAACGAAAGCGCGAACTTCCACTTGAGCGTGCTATTCACGTGCTTTGCCTGATGAGAGAATCATCCGGGGGATGCGCTAGTTCTCGTCGAACATCGGACAGCCGAGCGAGAGCTGAGCCTTGACAGCGCATGGATGGACGCCCACCAATGCCCGATGCACAGGTGCTGCAGGCTGCAGTGTGGGCTACGTTGCCAGCAGAGGGCAATGCAGCAGAACTCAAGTGGGCCGAGGCCAACCAATTGTCCTCAGCTGATGAAGGCTCAACCTCCTCTCGCACGCTCACCCCCCCCCCCCCCCCCCACCTTCGAAATTGTTATAGCCAAGTAAACAAATGTTGATAAATACATTTGATATGTATACATATGCGCGTTTCCTTAAGTATATAGAGAGTTAGAGTTCGAACAGACTGCAATACAGCAATTGGCGCAGGATCAGACCGATATTCATTCTATTTTTGATTTAAAGCTTTCGTGACTGCAGTAATTCATATTCTTAGCTCTTTCGGTAAAGTCACGTTGAAGGGAAACAATAAAATAATAAAATATATATAAAACAATACAATTCTCACGACGTTTCGACCATAACACAAACGGTCATCATCAGGTGTGAAAACCAACGGCAAGAAACATTTGAAAGAAGTGGCGGTCTGTATTTATTTATAAACGGTGTTTGTATTTATTTATTTATTTTAAATTAAAACCGTTAGCACCACGGGCAGCGATTTGGCAGTTTGTTTAGAAGGACGAGTCCATCTATGTTCTGAAAAGAGGAGGGGGAAGACGAAAAATTAATGTATGCTGTCTGAAAGCCACCGTAAGCGTGAACAATCAATTAAGACCTGAAATGGTTTATCAAATCCTTCCAATGATTGCTAACCCAGAATCCATCTTCTCGGTTGAAATTGTCTCTGTGCTTGTATATGTGGATAGCCTCATGAACGAATCTCTCATGGTAGCCAGATGGCTTACAAAGAACCTCTGTCTTGGAGAAGTCAATGTCATGTGAGCCTACTGAATCATAACAATGATCTGCCACGGCCGAGGTGTTGGTCCGAGACACAAAGCAGACCTTAAACACGGTAGGACCAACACCTCGGCCGTGGCAGATCATTGTTAAAATTCAGTAGGCTCACATGACATTGACTTCTCCAAGACAGAGGTTCTTTGTAAGCCATCTGGCTACCATGAGAGATTCGTTCATGAGGCTATCCACACATACAAGCACAGATATCATTTCAACCGAGAAGATGGATTCTGGCTTAACAATCATTGGAAGGATTTGATAAACCATTTCAGGTCTTAATTGATTGTTCACGCTTACGGTGGCTTTCAGACAGCATACATTAATTTTTCGTCTCCCCCCTCCTCTTTTCAGAACATAGATGGACTCGTCCTTCTAAACAAACTGCCAAATCGCTGCCCGTGGTGCTAACGGTTTTTTTTAAATAAATAAATACAAACACCGTTTATAAATAAATACAGACCGCCACTTCTTTCAAATGTTTCTTGCCGTTGGTTTTCACACCTGATGATGACCGTTTGTGTTATGGTCGAAACGTCGTGAGAATTTTATTGTTTTATATATTTTTATTATTATATTGTTTCCCTTCAACGTGACTTTACCGAAAGAGCTAAGAATATGATATTAATTCTGTTGAGCCTGAATTATGCTGAGTTTTTTTCTTCTTCTGCTCCTGCCCTTTTAAAATAAGGTCACGCTCCACGGTTGGCATAGATAAGCCGTGGGCGGGGGTGGAGTCTTGGCAATTAATGAAGCGAGAAGAGGCATTTTGTTGCGATTTCGGTAACGAACCAAACCGAAACCCACTGGGATGTTTGCACACAGCGTTGGTGTACGGTGCTATTTCAGGAATATTTTGATGTTTTTTTTCCTGGATTTTCTGTTTGCACAGTCACACATAGTCACTTTAAGATGTTTTCTTGTTCATGTTTTTGTTTTTTTTTGTTTGTTGCGGTTCCACCCGATTCAAGAGCCGAATGGCTCACAGGGCTATACCGAATAAATGGAAATGGAACTATGAAATGGAAACGCAACAACAAGAACAACGTCACGTGGTGAATAGGAGGACGCTGGGCCTTGACCGGATGGCGTCGCGAAGCGGTCGCAAAGTCGAGCCGCCGCGAGTCTTTTTATTATTACTACACGCTTTTATTTAACTCACTCTGTCTGTTGTCGTTGTTGTTGTCATTGTTGTATCCTCAAATCTTGTAACTCAATTTTAACCCACTTCCCAATGTGGTATCGACTGCAAACTTGGTATACTTATGTCATACTGATGACAATACTATATTCCATCATCAAAATATATATATTTTTAAACATTCTTTTTGATATGTTATGTTTCGGCTTGGGTCTAATTGTCTACGGTCAACTGACGTTGGCTGTAATTGTCCACGGCTCCCTTACGTTGTGGCAAGCTTCGGGGCCACTTCTTGGAGTCGTGGAGTTCTTCCATTACTAGTAGTACATTTCATAAAAGCGTGTTTAAAAAAAGTGTTTTTAAATATTACTTATTTTGTGTGTTGCCGGCTCGCGTCACAAAGGACAAACGTCCACAGGGGGTTGGGGGAATGGTGGTGGTGGGGGGGGGTGTTAGAGGGGCGATATAACACGTTGGCACAAGCAGACCGCAGCCTCTCAAGCTACGGCGCGTTCTCGTTTAACAGATTATTGTCCCGGTAAAAAAAAAAAAACTTTTTTAAAAAAACGTTAATTTTGTGGTGAAGGTCATGTCCGCACAGGTCTTCCACCCAATGGTAACGCGTAGTCCCGACTCGGTGGTGGTGTACGCACGTACGACGTTGAACTTCTTTCGCACCGCATGCAGCCAACCGTGCCAATCGGAGCGGCAGCTGAAAGCGAGATCGCGTGCCGAGGCGCTGATTGCATTGCCCCGTTGGGGGAATCCGTGCGAGATGGTGGCAGCTTTGGGAGGCCTTCATCCAGCAGTGAATTGATCGTGGCGGATTGTGTTGATGATGATGGGTGGGAATGCGACCCAAGCCTTCGACTTGACAGGTAAAAAGGTCGACTGTAGACGACACCCATCATTTCTCTGGCGTCGTTACAAATCGAACCAATATACAGGGAATACACACTGGCCGTTCCATCATTAAACTGGACCCCGTCGTCGTAACGTGGAATGTCCAACGCTGGCGCAGGGCCGCTGAAGAAAATTGAGCGCGGTCAAACACGCACATGAGCGTGGAAAGCACTTCGCCATGACCCAAGATATATCAACGTCCTTTAATTTAAACCTCACTGAATCTTAATACTTAAATTAAAAAAATAGGATCCTGTATTGGAATGTTTGGCCAATTCCGTTTCTGAGCATTTGGCTTTGTAGGAAGAAATCTTGAGTACCAGAATAAAACTCACACGTACACGAGGCTAACACTCTAAACTCCTGACTATTAAACACAATGCTGCATTGTACTACTGCCATCTTCTGGTGACCTGGCTGCCCAATCATACAACACATGCTATTGCCAGGCAATTATTCATCTCAATCATTATAATCAGGCTCTTTTATCTGCTTAGCTTCCGAGATGCGACAAGATCGGGACGGATTCGGAGTGATTTCATTATGCAAATCGCTCTCTAAGCACCAGGCAACGTGGCTCACCAATGCATAGCTTGTGATTATAATACATAGGCACAGCACAACTTAATAAGTACACACATTGAGACTACATCATTTGTTGATTATTCCACAACGCAATAT